CGAAATTTTGAGTGATTAGATTTGTAAATAAATTTAAAGTTTTGTTCTTTTTGAACTTAAAAATAATCTAAAATGTTGATCACTTGAATTTTAAAATAATTTGAACATGTACTTTTAAAAATTTAGGCTCTTAGGGCTCAAAAGTTATTTGGATATGAACTTTTAAAATACGGGTCCTTAGGGTTTGAAAATATTTTAACCCAAATTCCAAATATTTTTGAAATTAGGCTTTTAGGGTATAAAAAACATATTAGACATAAGGCTTTTGAATATCGAAAATTTGTCACTTAATTCGAATACATCTGCCAGTGAACAGTAAACAGTCCCTCTTAAAGCCAAAAGGTGTAACCTTGCATGCACTTTAATTAGATAATACCTATTTAAAGGTTTATAGTTTCAAATGGCTTTAAAATATTCAAAATCTATTCAAACTTCATTGGTATTCCTTAAGTCAAATGACATGTCTTGGAATCTTGACGAGTAATTTTAAAGCTTATGTAAATAATAAGTTGGACACCCTTAGTTGTATATGCTTTAAAATATTTGTAAAAGTGAGTCAACTATGCATAATTTCAAAATCTTGCATGTGTCTCTTAATGTAAATTTCATATCAATTTCATAGGTTAAAATTTATGCAAGTCTTCAAAATTTATAAATTTCTTTAAGCTATTCAAACATATGAAGTTTAAAACCCGTCTTGGCTCCAACTAAAATTCTAAATGTTTTAATGAATAATTTAGAAATGCTATGTGGATTAAGGCTAAACTTGCACTCAAATAATTCATATTTTGAAAATTAATTGATCGGACCTCCTTGTCTATTGGACAAGGTTTAAAGTACCACCCAACTCGTTCGATACTCCTTGTAAGGGCCAGAGTTGACGAGTCAAATAATTTTGAAATAATGTCCAAATCACTAATATAAAAATGTGCAAGTCCAAATTACCTAGTGTGATGCTCCTCACTGGAGATGAAGTTGACAATACTAGCATTCTAAAGATATTCAAGTGTCCAATTTCAAATTAATTTTAAACATAAATGTTTCAAATATTTGAATCCCCGATGATGATCGTGTTGATACATTTTAAAACAATTTTTTAAAGAAATAAATTAAACATTCAAGTAAAATTAATCTTTTGAAAGACTTAAAATAAATTTTATCCACCTCCGCAATAGTTTGTCGAGAGATAAATTTTTTATTGACTTCAACTCAAAAAAGAGCTAATGCCTCATCAAGTGCACTATTATATTCACACTCAAAGTAATTTCATGTCATTAAGGTCGTGGCCTAGGTCTTTTTTCCAGACTGTTTGATCTAAACCCTCCACATAATAGTGGTTATAACCAGAGGTCTTTGATCGGATGGTTGCCGCACAATGACCCTATTATATTAATTTTGCAGCCACAAACCGTATGTTCCCCATTAGTTTTCTATCATTTGAGTTGTAAACCTTAATGGTATATTTGATTGGCACAAAGCCTTCTATTAGCTAAGATTGACTTAAATTTGTCCTCTTAGAGAAACTTCTATCTTAGATCTATAAGGGTCGCTTGGACGATGCAAACCATAGTTGTTGACAAGGATCTGTTAGTAAAGTTGGGCCGACTAACTTTTTTTGACTAAGTAGATCAGAAACCACGACGACCTAAGATGACGGAATAATGCGATCTTGATCGGGCTCGCCGTCATCCCAACCCCCAAATTCGCTTTAAAGTCCAAGTGATAAATTTTACAATTTAAACTGTAAGCCTGGGCTCGCCGTCATCCCACCCCCCCAACCCCCAAATTCGCTTTAAGCTCCAAGTGATAAATTTTACAATTTAAACTGTAAGCCTGCAACCACTATAAGTTTATTATTCAATGTTAAATGACTAGCCATAATTGAAAGTGCTCTTCTGTTATTAGGAGGGGTAATTAACCTTAGGGGCTTGTGCGTGCCCATGGGAAACCTTGAAACCCAGATCTAGAAGTCCTCATAAAATGAGGACGAAATCTCCTGGAAGTGTCTTATCTACTTTCCAATCTGCCTTTTAAAATTTTGACCCTTAAAACTCTCTCCACAAACACTCAACGAGGAGAGTCAGGGGCGTCAAAATTTTTGGAGCCCACAACATCGATCTGGCTCGTTTGAGCTTTGCTTGTGAGCTCATCGAGCTCAGATCATGAGCCACATATTGAGTTGAGCCCGAGCCAACTGAGGAGTCGGCTTAGCTCAGCTACACCCTACCCTGAATCTTCATTTTTACAGAAGCAGTTCTGAGACTTTCAACAATTTTCTGTTGATACGAATGATTAGAACTTTTTCTTTCTAAAATTATCTTCCATGATCAAACCGGCCTGATGGATGGGAAACCATTTGCTCGGTTTGCTTCCGCTGATTGAATATTCGAATTCTGTATTACCTAAAAATATTTCCTATGCATGGCAGATAATTGAAGGTTATTGTTCATCCTTGCAGATTGTTGCCCGAGTACTGCATAAGTTGCCAACCCAACCTGGCTGTATGCTTATTGAAGATTACCCAGAGTACCTAATGGAAGCTCTCAGAGAAGCTTTAACTTTGGTTGGCCCTGTTAAGTCCTACAACATGCCATTGTCTTGCCCACAATGCGCACAGGTTCATTAATACCCCAATATTATCTACTCTATTTTTAGTCATTGTATATCTAAATTACTATTCTTATATATATTTTTCACTTTTCATATTAAAAGTTTCTGTTAGCATGTCTTCATCAGTATGTGCAAATCATTTTGCTATTGGAACCATACTTTTATCAATTTTAGTCTCACATTTACAATTGAGGGGTTTGAAGGAATTGAAACAACTTAGTTGTTCAGATGGTTCAATGACCACATTCATTTTCATTCATCAACAAAACTGACCAAAATAGGTATCTGGTTTGATTATACACTTATATTGGTTTATCCGATCAAAATAATCATTCAGAGTTATGGAAGGGTTGTTCTCTAGCCTAGGAATCACGAAAGTTGGACAATTTGTGAGCCATGGAAACACGAAAGAGCTCAAATAATTTTGGAAATTTGTCATACATACCACACAATACTTATGCATTTATATATCTAAGACTTAGACCTTGATACTTATATTTATAGCACTTTAGTGTGATAAACCTATGTATGAAAATGTGTATTTCACTTTTAAAAAATTAATATCAGTGTCATTTTTTGATGTAATATTAAAGATTTGAGTGTTATGCATGTAAATATGAAAGTATGGGTGTTAGATGTGTAAAAAGATGAGAATGGTGTGGTTGTATGTAAATGCCCCAATCATTTTTTTATGCTGGGTGAACAACAAACATTGTTGCAATATATCATTCGCTTCAATAATGCCTGTACTGTTACAATATCAGAAGACATTTTTTTTTCATTATTCTTGACTTGGGAGGCACTTAAAATGGTGTTATATATATATATTTTTGAACAGTCCAATATATATTAATTTAAAGGATTTGGATTTCGTGTTGTCCAAGTAGGGGTGGAAACGAGCCGAACACGGGCGAGCCATGCTTAGCTCGTGTTCGGCTCGTTTATTTTTCGCAACTAAACATAT